CCCCAAAACCCCAAAACCCCAAAACCCCTTAATTAAGATTATCTATAAATAATTTAGCAAATTATATAAACATGAAAATATTGTAAAATCTTGTGTAAATATTCCTGTTCTTGAAGTGTTTGAGTGCAATTGGCTATAATGTTACTTCAAGTGAAGATTGTATATATTGTCTCGATAAATCAAGTGGAAATTATTGCAAGAATAGTTTTGAAAATACTAGTGGCTACTGCTGTACAACTTATTTAGAATAAAGATTTGCGCTTTAATGTAGTATAAATCAAAATATTTGCTCTTCTTAAGCAAAGGTAGATAAACTTAAATACTTAATTTGCCCTGCCAACTTTTAAAAATGCGGACATGAGTAATAGATAGTAATTTCCCCTGAACATTAAGGAAAAAGATAAATTACTATAAAACCTATATATTAAAACGAAATTTGTTATTGGAATATTTCATTAGCAAAAATCAATAACTCTTATTCAATCAACATTGAATTCTTAGAAATAGTAAAAACAGAGTTGAGTATGATGGTCAATGTTTCTAATTTTAAAGTAGACTCTATGTAAACTAAGACATATTATGCAAATTAGACAATTTATTAGTTTAGTTAGAATGAAATAATCCTGATAATGATAAGAGGCGTTTCTGATAGCTAATTAGGTTACTTTACTTACTCCTACTGGATTTAATAAACAGACAAAAATGATTAAGGCTAAGTTGCAGCAAGTAATAATTCTTTATCTGAAAGTAATAGATATAAAGATGTCCCTGAATTTCTTATGAACTATAAAGAATATATTAATCAAATGACCGCATGAACGTTTTGGATAATCTTTTATTTCGGTATGTCGCTAGTTATTTTTATGATTTTTGTATCAATGATAGCCTGTCTTTATAGATATTTAGTAGAACCTTTATATTAAAAATTCAGGGAGTAAAGAAAATAAGTTACATCAACATCAATATTTAAAAAGTGTCATTTGAAATGGAAACATTTTTTGAAAAGGAGACAATGAATCCCTGATGCTGCCGCAGAAACTGAATAAATTAATGATGATTCAGAGATAAGTCAAGTTTATAAGGTGAACTAATCTGAAATCTCAATAATTAATTATTAATAAAAAACCGAAGAATCTCAATTGAAAATATCAAAAAATTTCAATTAATAAATTAATAGTAACTATTCCCCAAAACTAGGTAGATTTTCAAATTTGTAAACTGACAAATTTGAAATAACTGGTGCTTATGAATAAAATTTAATTATAAAAACCGATGAAATTTCTTCTAAAGAAAAAGACCTTTAAGAATCCATCTAAGATAGTAAGAGCATCGAAGAAATAATAAAATAAGATAATAACAGTTTATAATAAGAAAAAATGTCAATAAAATCACCTAAATTTGGATCTGAAAAAATGTTTACAAGATCATCTTTCGATTCAAAAAATTAACTAAAAGGTGAACTTTAAATAGATACAGATTTAATAATTAATCAATTAATCAATTAATCTAATAATCATAAAATTGGAACAACTAAAAATTCAGAAAAGGGCCAGTATAATTCATTCTTTAGTCATTAATAATAAAAAATTTATTCATAAATAAAAAGTCTAATTAATTCTCCGGCTCAATTTAGATAAATTACTTTCAATGATAATAAAGACAGCTTTACGAAATTATCAAACATCAATGATTCTCTCAATGAACTACCAATCTACATAGATAATTTTCAAGAGTAATAAAAAATAATTAATGGCTCTACTTTAAAATTTTCCTTGGAATAATAATCAAATGATAATCAAAAATTAGATTTGAATGAAGACTAAGAACTAGTATATAATAAAAATGAAATATAAAATTCAGTTCCTGGTAAAACAAATGATTAAATTTTTGAGGAAGTTGCCACTAGAAAAAATAATTATATATATAACGAAGATTAGAGCAGCTCAATATCGCAATAATCAAATTAAAATAATGATGATAAGAAATTAGATTAGCATGAAGCTAAAGTACATCCATTAATAGAGTGAAATTATAATAAATAACAAAAGAATTATGAAATTAATCTTAGCAATTCTTAATTTATTGAAGTTAGTAGAAATCAACTCTATCATTATCAACTTAAATCAATGATTTCTTTACTATCATTTCTATCACACTATATCTTATTGATCTCTTCATTTCTGGCATCCCTTACATTCCTTATTTATTCAATGATATTGTTTATCTAATCTATCTCATCTTAGTATATCGGTTGATTCATTTGCAATTTCTTCTTTATAATCATTTAATGTTCTTGCAGTCTGTTTCTGAAAGTATTTTCTAATAAAATGTGGTCAGGGATTTTATATTCTTGATTTCTAATGAACCCATTATGTTCTTATTTAGAATCGTTCTTATTACCACTATTGTGATTCCTACCATTTCCGTTTCTACTACTAGAAGTAATGAATTTATCCATTGTTACTTATTGTAATTATCCTCTAGTTCTAATGATGGTCTTTTAGCCTGAATTGTCATTTCCATTCATTTAAATATCGGCTCCATTAACTCCAGGATTTTATCCTATGTTATCAGAAAAGAATCCTACAATTTCTGCATTTTGATGGACAGGAGTATTTGGTAAATTAGTATTTCGCTAATCGATTGGGCTGTTTTAAACTGGTCTAATTATGTCCTATTAATATTCAAGTGAGTCTTAGTAATTTTGGGAATCATTTAGATTATTACTCAAGCTATCATTTAGTTTGTTTCCTCTTATTCTTTCTAAATCATCTTAATACTAGAAATTCTTAAGATCCAATTCTTCACCTTCGAATTATCTTAAATCATAGTCGATATCATTTTATTGGCAATGTTGGCTGAATTAATTTTCTTCAAAATCTCTCATACTTTAATATATTTCCATATCAAATTCCTAATCATCGTTTTCCCTCACGAAACCAAGTTCTACCTACTTTAAATTATCTCTATTTCTATTACCTTTTATCTTAGATTTTTTGGTTGATGTATCTATCATTTCCATATCATTCTCTTTTATCTATCTATTTGGACTTTAATTATATTAGTTCTGATATTCTTGTTTACCATAGATTGTGAAATGATTTATCCTAAATGGTACTTAAATCTACTCATAGAATGGGTTTCTGATTGTCACAATGCAAGAGTTGAAAAGGCTTTCAGAAGTTTAATCAAATTCAATATTAGCAACTTAGGAAACCTTCTTTGTTTCCAATACCTAATCCAGCGATCTCAACTCTCTAAAATGTGTTTCACTTGGCAATATATCTAGCCCATTTTCATCAAGGAGAGAAGCTTATAATCTCAAGAATGGTATATGCTCTACATAGATTTCAATTCTTTCTATCTAATGAGGTTCTTTAAAATTAAGCTAAAAGACAATTTCATCCACTTAAGCATTTTCAGGGAAGTTCTCTGTTGACCAAAACTCATTCTTTTCTCTATTATTTATTTTGGAAAGTTCCTCTATCGAGATGTTTGGATGATTGACTTTCACTATCTCATACTAGATTGGCTAATCATTGTTATTTACCATTTTATTGCGATAAATTAAAGATTTAATAAACTCAATTAATCTACTAATTACAATTGATGGGGTTTTGGGGTTTTGGGGTTTTGGGG